AAGTAATGAATAGAATTTGGGCATTATCACTATATGAATTGAAAACCAACTAAATTCCAATTCAAAAATACTTACGTAATTATAAACTACTATATTTGCAATTGAATTTTGTTTTAGATTTATTAGTGAATTGAAAATCCTAAATAGAAAACTTCGCAAAATCAAGAATGCAAAAAAAGGTTTACCTTTCACATAGCTCCTGGCATACGACACAGAAAAAGTAGACAATTCTCTAAAAAAGATGAAAAGTCTGTCCTGAAAGAGGCACAATGGTATCCATACCAGCGTTAGGTACGCTAGTTTGAATTAATAATTGTCCTAAAGACTCTATGCTTCTCAGTAAAAGAAAATATAAAAATTGAGAGTCAAGAAAGTTTCAGAAATGCAATCATTAAAAATTCAAGTTCAAAGCTAACACGAATAAATGTAAAATATAAAACTCGTAAGTCTACAGCGTCGCAAGTAAAAACCTAAAACAGACAAAAGTCTCATAAACAAATACTATAGAATTGGATAGATGGTGCTTCGAACATAGAATCGTTTAGATACATAGACGGACAAACATCAAAATGAATTATTTATCGTTATGCAGTCCCTACAAGTGAGTCCATTTTATCGTGTACATATGGTGGAATAGAATAATGTGACCGTATCAGTAAGAAAAGCACTTGTTTGCTCTACGATATTGTAAAGAATGGCGTACCTAAACATGGCAAATTCGGCCCAAATACCCTTCTGTTTCTCTCTCCGTGTACAGAAAAAATTGGGGGCGTCGCCCCACGCAATAAAATTGTTTTTTTCCATTTTTGAAGAAGAAGAAGAATGAAATAAGGTATGACGCTTTAAATCGTAGGAGTCTTCTCTTTTTTAATGCCCTCTCTATGTAAAAAAAGAATGCACATTCAGGCATGAAATTAATTATTTTTTCTCGATGTTTTTAAGAAAAAAACAGTTAGGTAGGATGCTTTTGATCGTAGGAGTCTTCTCTTTGTTCGTTGCCTCTCTATGTAAAAAACGAGTGTGCTCATTCAGGCATAGAATAAAATTGTTTTTTTCTCTACGCTGTCAAGACGAATACAGTTAGGTATGATGCTTTTGATCGTAGGAGTCTTCTCTTTTTTCGTTCCCTCTCTATGTAAAAAAAGAGTGTGCGCATTCAGCCATGCAGTTAAATTATTTCTCTGTAGGTATTTAAGAAGACCAACACAGTTAGGTACCATGTTTAGATCGTCGGATTCTTCTCTTTTTTGTTCCCTCTTTATGTGAACAAACATTGTCCGCATAGAGCCATGCAGTAAAATTCTTTTTCAGCATATTTGCAAGAAGGACACAGACAGGTATGATGATTTTGATCGAAGGATTCTTCTTTTTTTTTCAGTGCTTCGTTTTGTAAAAAAGAGTGTGTTCATCGAACCATGCAATAAAATTGTTTTTTCTCTGTTTTCAAGAAGCACACCGTTAGCTATGATGCTTTAGATCGAAGGATTCTTCTCTTTTTTCATTCCCTCTCTATGTGAAAAAAAGAGTGTGCGCATTCAGCTACGCAATTAAATTATTTTTCCATAGATATTTAAGAAGAAGAATACAGTTAGGTATGATGCTTTCATCGTAAGAGTCTTCTCTCTTTTCGTTACCTCTCGTTGTAAAAAGAAGAGTGTGTGCATTGAGCCATGCAATAAAATTGTTTTTTCTGTATGTTTTCAAGAAGAACACAGTTAGGTATGATGCTTTAGATCGAAGGACTTTTCTCTTTTTCTCGTTCTCTCTCTATGTAAACAAGAGTATGTGCATTGAGCCATGCAATTAAATCATTTTTTCTATAGATATTTAAGAAGAACACAGTTAGGTATGATGCTTTAGATCGTAGGGTTCTTCTATTTTTCTGTTTCTTCTTTATGTAAAATATTGTCCGCATTGACCTATGCAATAAAATTCTTTTTCTGTATGCTTGGAGGAAGAATACACTTAAGAATGCTGCTTTGATTCGAAGGACTCTTCTCGTTCTTCATTCCCTTATCTGTAAAAAGAAGAGTATGCGGATTCAACCATGCAATATCATTGTTTTTTTCAGTACGTTTTTGGTAAAAATATAGTATGTTGCATGGGGAGATTGGTTTCATAGGCTATGTTTTTATTTTCTGTGCTGATATTCATTATGGAAGATGATTTTGGTAAGTTGTGGAGCTGATTTCTTTCTATATCGATATTACTTTCTTGTAGAAAAGTTGGACGCATCACATGAAGAAAATCTTATTCATTGATTTGTCTCTCAATGAGCGATGTGGTAAGGTAACTAAGCCACGCAGGTGATGTCATGTCCTAATTCGTTCTTTTTAGGGTCATTTAACCGAGGAGAATACTGCAATACCACTTCGATTTATTCCGAATACAACTCGACGAATTCTATAGTATGGTGGGAAGAGTTCATCGATACATCTTTTACTAATCGAACGAAGTTTAAAATACATGTTTTTCCATCACTGGATAAGTTCAAACCAACATTAATTTTTAGGCTGATTTGCATACGAGTATGTTTCAAGAAAACTAGTCATGCTACAAGTAGAATTGAACGAGTTCTGTAAGATAATGGAACCTCTAAATGAATAATATGCTCCGTTGACGTGGAGTCATTACTTTACCGACGCAGTTTTGTTCATTCCACAGTGTTTCTTAAGCCGATTCACTTGCAAATATGTTTCAAAAAATTTATTCATGCTTCAAATAGAACTCAACAAGTTCTATACGTTGACAAAAATTACATCTGAATAGCACCCATTGCTCTCAGGAAATTCTCACTCGATAGGTACAATGCACTATGTGACCGATTGGACTGCTAGAGTGATGGTTTCTTACAAACAAAGATGGCTATTCATAGACGATATCCAGAAACTGATAGGAATCGTAGAGTTCTACTGTAGACACGAATACTTTTGCTGAAACATGTTTGCATGTGAATTGACCTAAGAAAGACCATCGAATAAGCGAAATTGTGCTGGTAAATTGATTATTCCACGTAAACTCAGCATACTATTCATTTAGGTTTCTGCTGTATAATAGAGCTTGTTAAGCTCTACTCGGATCGTAAATACTTTTATTCTAGAATATTCACAGTCAAATTGACCGGAAAAATGCAAAAGTTTTTTAAGACATGCCGCCATTGTGAGCATGCCCATAGAGATGAGATAAGGATATCTTACAAACAAAGTATGCTATGGAGATGCGAGTTTCCACCATTTGCTAAAGCTTATCACATTCTACCTGAGACATGTTCATAGGCGAATCGATCTACAAATTACTACTTGTTTGAATTTATCAAATGAAGATAAACAGGTATTTTGGTTTTTCTTGGTTACTATAAGATATATCGAAGAAATTTTCTTACTATCTAAAACATATCGTTGATTTGTAGTTAGAGTAAATGCAAATGGTAATGGAGCGTTTCAATAGGCATATGGTCCTAAAAAAGCATATCTTAACCTCACATAGGCTATTCACAAATCCATGGATTAATATTTGGGATGATTTAATGGTACTACTTCACTTTGTATTTTCGAGTTTTGCCCACATAAAGTAAAAAATTTTTCACGTACTTCGCATCGAATGATACATCTTGAAACTGTCTATAAAACGTTATATTTGGTTTAAGTAATGTATCTATTGTATTTCATGAAAGCCGAAACAAGTATTAAAAGATATGATGATGATTTTCTACACTTATGTCGAGCCGAAATTTTTCATATAAAATATTTTCATTCTTCTATTATCATATCTTTTCTTGAACATGATCTTAATTCATGCTTCGAACCATCTTTTAATTAGACGATAGAAATGTATAGAAGTCGTGTTCAAGCACAAGAAATGATAATAGAAGAATGACAATATTTTTTAAGAAAAACTTTCGGATTGACATTAATTTAGAAAAGTGTGATCATGTCTTTAGAAGACTGTTGTCGCTCCTATGAAAAAAAATAATGATGTTAACTAACCAAAAAATAACGTTTTGTAGAAAGTTTTAGAACATACATTTTCGTTATGAAAGGTTGCAAAATATTTGACTCCATGTGAATAAAATTCAAGAATACATAGTGGTGCATTTCCATTGAATCAGTGGACGTTTTCTACGTACATAGATGGAACCATCAGAGCAAGACATGTCTGCTTTTCGTGAGTTCTGAGCTCCTGAAACTCTTGAAAGTTCAACTTTGCTGTGAATCACTTAGATGAATAAAGATACAAACAAAATAATTATCGTACTAACTGCCTGAGCTGCACGAAAAAGTCAAGGAACCTAACGAAGAGAAATATCTGATGGAACAGGCTACGCCGAGCCACTCATGGAACCGTTAGACCCCTCAGAACTCACAGAACTCGTAAAAAAAGGAGAGCCACGTGACTTGCCGATGATAAACATTGGTTTCATCTTCATCTATAACTAGACTCACATCTACACCTGTTTTGAATCTATCGGAAGCTGAAAAAGGCTTCGCAACATGTAAGAAGATTCTGTTTTTCTTTTGATATAAAATTCAAAGCATCTTAGGAGGGAACCAGCTTTTTCTACTAATCCAATAATGTCCTTTGGATAATTGACATAATACAGGCACATTATGATCATATTAGATCAACCATCTCGGTTGCAGCGATTTATCCACATAGACCTGCAATTGGATTTTGGCTTCTTTTGAAGCTGATAATGTTTTGAAGAAGAGTAGAAAGATTGATCTTGGTTACCTAAAAAACAATACTAGTATTTCAGAGCTTAACTAGTCCTGTATTTTATTCTTTCAGGCAGAGGAACTAGTTTTTGTATAGATGAACTTTCCATTGTAGAAAAGTGAACATAAGTTTTTATGAGTTTCTACATTTTATTTTTCATTGGATATAATCTCAACATTTTGTTTTGCCATTCTTGTAGATATTCGCACCTAAGAAGTGCTTCATCAATCATTTTCTTGTTTAGCTTATTTATTACTTGTAATTATCAAGAATATTTGGAAATCATGGCTTGCACTACGTCATTTGAACCTATAGCAATAATTGGCATGTCTTGTGAATTTGCTGGTGACATCCATACACCCATCGATTTGTGGAAGGCACTTGAGGAAAGCCGTGATCTCGGCAGCGAAATACCTGCCGAGCGGACCGATTTCTCGTCATATTGTGCTCATATGCTCAATCAGGATAATGGTGAATTCAAACGAAAGCTCTTACGTCGTGGTTATTTTTTGTCATCATCGCTTCTCGACACCTTTGATACAGGGTACTTCAATCTTTCAGAGGGAGAAGCAGTTACAATCGATCCATGTCATCGTCTTCTCATGATGAAATTCGTTCATTTGATTGAGGATGCTGGCTATACTTTGGAAAAAATGCGTGGATCACGTACTTCTGTGTATATTGGACAATTCTCCAACGATCATACATTTACATCAGTTCGACTTAAACCAGAGCAGCGAACACGTTTTTTCGCTCCACATATACTGCTTTACAATGCATCAGCTCGTTTATCATACCATTTCGATCTACATGGACCGAATTTATCCTTGGATAGTGCTTGTTCAACAGGACTTCAATCCATTCATCTCGGTGTACAAGCGTTGCGCACAGGTGAAGCAGACATGGCTGTTTGTGGCAGTGTTAATAGTGTTATCACACCTGAGCAAATTCTCCATTACTCAATCATCGGAGCCTCTTCTGTTGATGGACGAAGTCGATCGTTTAGTGTCGATGCAAGCGGCTATGCAAAAGGTATAGATAATACTAGTCAAAGACGACACGAAATGTATTATATTATTGGTCACAATAATCATCTAGATTCTTTCATTGTGTTGTGTAAAAGTCTAATAACTTTCCACATAGTATTTTTTCCTTTTTACTCATCAATGTCATAGAAGCCTTAGTAATTTTTGCGCAATGCATGAATATGTTCGTAAGATCGCTATATAGGGATTCTGCTAGACACCACGAGTAGGAAACCATTGGATTTTAGATTAGTCTTGAAAAGAGAAGCTATAGTTTGCTCCTCGACAATAAAGCTAGAGGTTAAACATTTCTGTCGTAGTTTCTATCTAGAAAATATCTTCACAATTCTCCTTGAGAAGCTGCAAAAGGAAAATAATGAAGAGACTGCTGTCACACTAATTCTCGTATATATTAACACATCCGAGCAGTTACATACTAAAATTTTATTGTATGATAGCGAAGATTTCTTCTTCGATAAAATATAACCATACATCGCCTTCGATGAGAATGATGTCTTACTAAAGGTCGCAATGCAACTAAAACCAGATACTTTGCAGTCCATTTTTGGCATTTCTTGTTGTCTTTAGAGGTACAAAACAGATCTTGATCAATCGATGAGTTATTTGAATGGCTATCTGATAAACACTTGTTCATTCAGTAGTATCATATAATGGGAAAAATTAAAAAGTTGTTTTGAATAGAGATCGTCTTTTTTATCGCAACTAAATTGCATCAATAAGAAACTTCATCACTTTCAATCTATCGTTTTCTTTCTCTATGTTTCACTTACGAAAAAAACTTTATTTACTATCACGCCACTGTTTACAGATTGTAACTGTCCAGCTTTCACTCAGTTATCAAACTTTACTTTCAGAGTTTTATTCTATAATTGGTAATTCTAGAATATACAAATAGGCAGCATTCTACAACGACAAAAAAACCTCTCAATTTTTATTATGGAATTTTCGTTTCCCGGTGAAAATGATGCCTTTCCCTGTGAAATTCAAACTTCACCTGTGTAAAGATCTGAGTAGAATAATTTAAATCTAAGCATTCAGAATTTAAGAATCGTATTTTTCCAAGAAATGATGTTTTCAGGATATCCCTGCATTTTCAGAGGTATTTTGAAATTTCACTTTTGAGACCCTCTTGTTTTCGTATAGAATATCCAAAGTTGAGAAAAATTTTAGAAAATCTCATTTAGTTGATACATGTATCGGATGAAGATTGAGCTCAAAATTCAAAAACTGATTTTACTAGAACATTAAGGCTCTATAAGGTAATTTAACTAAACTTCACTATATTGCAGGCAACATGATCAGGCCTAAATCCTTTCATATTATTAATGAGCCATCCATTTTCATATATTGTTTTTATGGAGCCTTCCAGGTTTGAAAATTTCAGAACCTAAACATATTGACGTGGGCATAGTCGATGTAAAGCTTTTAGTTCTCTTTGTTTTTGAACTTCTCAAGCAACAATAAAGATCTACATCAAATCATAAGGAGCTGGAAAGGCTCAAGACTTCTATACATGATAGAGTTCTAAGAAGTCTTGCTCAATAGATGTGTCTTCGAGCTGAGGATTCGAGTTTTGATGAACGTACGATTATAGACTAAACTGTCTATTGTTTTTTAGGTGAGGGTCTCGGTATGGTTCTTCTCAAACGATTAAGTGATGCTGAAAGGGATGGTGATAGAATTTACTGTGTACTACATGATGTCTTGAGCAATCACGATGGTTCTGAAGGTAAAAGTGGTTATGTGATACCAGCGGCCGCCGGACAAGCACGTCTCCTGGACGAAATTTATTCTAGAACACAGTACGATCGAAGCCGTATCTTTTATGTTGAAGCGCATGGAACAGGAACACAAGTAGGTGATCCAATAGAAGCTAATGTTATTGGTGAATTCTTTCAACGATCGCCTTTTGATCCTCCATTGTTAATCGGATCCATTAAGAGCAATATTGGTCATACAGAAGGAGCAGCTGGTATTGCATCTCTTATTAAAGTGGCAATGTGTATGAAACATAGAACCATTCCACCAAACATGCATTTCAAAGCTTATAATCCAAAAATTGAAGCAGATCGATTCAACATGCATGTAGTACAAACAATGACTGCATTTCCTCTCATCAGTAAAGATGATGAAAAAGAGCATACAGTAGCTGCTGGTATTAGCTCATTTGGTATTGGTGGCAATAATGCTCATGCTATTGTCGAAGAGTATCATCCAAAAGAGAGATCAATCAATGTAAATGGTCATATTGACGGAGAATTGTTACAGCAACATAATGTTTTTATCTTTTCGAGTATGTTGCATATATTATGATTTCACTTAACTATATTTCGATTTTAGCAAAAAGTGGTGATTCACTTTACAAACAAGTGGCTTCATTCAATGAATGGCTAAAAGAAATAGAATCGCAAGATGATGAACGTTCTTTTCTTGCACGTATCTCTCAACAATTATTGCTCAAACGTACGATTAGTCACGGGAATTTGGCCATTTTTGTTTCAACTAATCGTACTCAATTGCAACAACAGCTTGATGTTTTTCTTCAAAAACAATCAACACCAGGACTATTAGTCACCAAACGCGTTTCATCAAGTTTTCCTCGCATATGCTTTGTTTTTAGTGGTCAAGGTCCTCAATGGTGGGCCATGGGTCGAGAACTATACTCATCTGAACCCACTTTTCGACAATGGATTCACCGAATCAATGAAGAACTGATGAAAATCAATGGTGGTGAATACAATTTACTGAATGAAATGATCGAAAAAACTGAAAAAGAATCACGTATCAATGACACCAATATCGCACAACCGGCTCTATTTGCTCTTCAAGTAGCACTTGCAGCACTTCTCGCTTCATGGAACATCTTGCCCAATGCAATCGTATCTCATAGTGCAGGAGAACAAGCAGCTGCTTTTGTCTCTGGACGAGTTTCATTGAATGAAGCAATTCGTATTGTTTACAATCGATCACGTCTTCAACATCGAAATACTCGTCAAGGTGGTCGAATGTTAGCTGTTGCTATGAGTGAACAAGAAGTGAGAGATTCGTTAATCAAAGGAATCGAACATCTTGTATCTGTTGCTGGTGTCAATAGTCCACGTTCAGTGACGCTTAGTGGTGATGAAAAAGTTATTGATGAACTTGAAAGCATTCTTACAACACTTCATCCGACAGTATTCAAAGCTCGACTTCGGATCGAGAATGCATTTCATTCTCATCAGATGGATCGTTTTGGTGTTAGAGAAGAGATGCTCTCAACACTTGCTGACATTCGAGGTCTTCCTCTTGAGAATACACAAGAAATGTTTGATGTTCGTTGTGCACAAGCTAGACTTTACTCACCTGTTACTGGAGGTCGAATAGAAGATAAAACACCACTTGATTCTCATCATTGGTGGTCAAATGTTCGTCAATGTGTTCGATTTGGTGATGCTATTCAAGCAATTATTCAAGATGGAGTCGTCGATACTTTTCTCGAGTTATCACCACATCCTGTTTTAGCCACATCAATACAAGAATGTTGCGAAAAGACATCTACATTTCAACCACTCATTTTGCCTACTCTCAAACGAAAAGAGGATGAACAGAAAACATTGTTGACAACCATTGCACAACTCTCATACTCACCTGATGTTTGGAAACAGTTTCTTTCATCTCGATATGTTCAACCAGCTGAAGATCTAGAACATCTATTTGATAATTTTCCATTATATGCATTTAACTTAACTCCTTGTTGGTATGAATCAAAAGAATCTGCACTAGAACGTCTTGCTTATCGTCTACCTTTACATCCACTACTTGGTGTTCGTCAATGGACAAATCACACTTCGGCAATATGGAAAAGTTTAATCAATCTCAATCTACCAGAACATGCCTATTTATCTCAGCACAAAATGCAAGATGCCATTCTTCTTCCAGCTGCTGGATTTCTTGAGATGGCATTAGCTGCCTGCCGTCAGCTGTTACCAGTAGTTAATGACGACGAAACACCACCACCAATCGCTTTTGAGCAAGTTGAATTTATCAAAGCTCTTGTCCTTACCGAGAACGAATTGACCGAAGTTATTACACAAATTGTGATGCCAATGCGTGAATGGTTCATTTTTAGTCGACCATGGTCAGCAGCTGGACCAGATTGTCGACGATCTTCTGGTATGGCTTGCAATGATTTTATTGATTCTTTTGTTGATCTTCAAACATTGAATGCATATTCTCTACGTCAATTTACTCTGCACGCACGAGGTCGTATTGATATTGGTTCTCATTTGAACATTCATGCCTCGTCAGCTTATCGATTTAGTAACGAAAAAACATCAAATTGGTATAACTTGGACGTTGCTAATCTTTACTCTCATTTCTCTACAAGAGGATATCAATATGGTCAAGATTTTAGAGTAATGACTTCAATTAAAACAACAAACTCGCAAGTAACTGGTCGAGTTGCTCCAGCTAATGAAGAACAAAACGACAAACGTTATCATCTACATCCACTTATTATTGATGGTTGTTTCCACACATTCCTATCTATTGTACCAGGAATAGAAACATGCCTTCCAGTTGCCATTGGCAAGATGATTGTTTATGGAAGTACATTTCATGCGTCTCAAATAACGACTCACGGATCTTATCATTCATTTCTGGTGGGTCTTTCGCAAGAGCGAGCTTATACTTTGGATGCTGCTATATATAAGAGTAATGATGAAACGATGGAATCCAATGCAAAACCACTCGTTATATTTGAAATGTTCAAAATGCAACGCATTCCTGGTCGTTGGATACCATCAGACAAAACCATTTTCCAAAAAATAAACGAAATTGTCCATCTCCCAAATGGAGATCATAATGATCATGTACAAACAGTTTTCTCCGACTTTTGTCTACAAAAGAAATGGTCAATTGTACCAAGATATTCGACTAGAACAGTCGATCGTTTACCATCGTCTAATACTTTGATGAGTGAAACAGAAAAACAAGAGATTGATATGATAAACAATGCCAATGATGATATCAATAATCAACTAGCAGAATCGATCGAACCATTGAATGCTTTAGCTGGAATGTATGCTCTTCAAGCACTACAACATCTTGCTTCATTGGAAAACATTTCACTGATCATTAAAGACAAGTTGTATCATCTTGTACGAGAAGATGAGCCTTGTTTTATCCAATTAATTGAAGCTGCTTTTTCACTTGTTCATCAACATAATCTAGTTGATGAGTATGGCAATACCACTGTGACATTGACAAATCATTCGATTCACTTATTTCAAAAAGAGCTTGTTAGTCGATTTCCTCGTCTCAAATCATTTGTTACTATAATAGATGCAGTCGGATCCAAACTTGGTCAAATGCTTTTTGGTGCACAGTCTCATGAAGAATTATTTACACAAAACAAGGAAACTGAGTTAGCCTTAGAAGATGTGCAGAATACAATTTCGTTGTTAAAAACACAATGTGTTTTTCAAGCACTCACCAATCATCTGCGCAGCAGTCATCCAAGTCAGTTACGTATTCTTTTATTTGGAGTTGGTATAAGTTCTATTTCGGTGCCTATTATTCGTCAATTGGTTGATTTTGCCGAACAAACAGACACATATGTACAAGTGCTCTATGTCGATCTGACAGAAACATTTCTGTTAGAGGCTGAACAAGCTTTCCAATCTTGTGTGCCAAGTAATAAAAGAAGTAATCAACGGATTTTCATCTCGTATCAAGTATATGACATAGAAGCTGAATCAGGCGACTCAAGCCTGCTAGGTAAATATATGCTTTCTTTGCTTAGATGAAGAATTAGCATATGGATGCATTTTGCCCTCTATAGGATCAAATTGTAAGAAGCATGGTAAAATATTCCAGTCATTATTATAAAAGTAAATGTTTAAAACTCTCCAATAGAGTACGAAGCTCTCGATCAACGATAAATTATATAATGAGTTTTTTTTTTTCAAAGAATATTTTCGACTTTCTGAATATTATAAAAACTAGATAACAATCATGGTTTGAGTATCGAAGTGTATTTTTTTCGAATAGAAAAAGCCAATATACTTAGACGAACATTCTGACCGAATTATTAGTGTCGAGGATTTATAGGAAAAATCACTAGTCAAATACTCTGGTGGATAGCGATCCATCATGTACTCGAATAAGGTGCATCTGTATAAAGACAAAAACGAGTTTGTTAAGGCTACTGTTAAAGGGCACTTCTTTGTCGCTTCTGACTTCGCAGCATAGAAAAATGCGCTGTTTTAGTTGGATTCAATTCATTTATATAAATTCTTGACCTATTTTCGGATGAATTGAAACATTTTTCAATCGAATGTTGCTCTGAGTACTTTGATTAATGCAATGAATATTTAGATTCTTTTTAAGCACAATAATTCATATTTTAGAAGTTGCAAAACTAAATGATTTCTTCTGTTGTAGACGAAGCTCATGATATTATCTTTGTGGCTAGTGTACTTCAGACAACGAGTGATATAAATCACTCACTTGAGTCACTTCGTCGTCTTCTTGTGCCAGGTGGCCTTCTTCTCGTAGTCGAATTGACATTAGCTCATCCTTATTTCGATCTTATATTTGGTTTATTTCCTTATTGGTGGCGTGATGATCAGAGTCGTGCTCCACTGAATGTTGATCAATGGAGACAAGCATTTCAAGCAGTAGGTGGATTTGAACCAATGGTAGTATCAACAAAGACGAATGCATTTGGAAATTCACTAATGATTGTGCAAAAGTCAACCACACGATCCATTCTCACTCACCTCTCTGAATGGAAAGATCAAGCATGGCTCGTATTTGCTGATCGTGCTCACAATCTGTCACATGCATTCGTATCTCATTTACCAAGTTCTACCATTGAAATTCTACCAGATACTGTTACTATGGACCGTATTTCTTCAACAATTGATGCCATGTTGAAACAACATAAACAATTGCATATTATATTTGCTTGGCCACTTGATATATTGCAACTTGGCCAGAATAGCAATGAAACAACACTTGAAACACATGTAGAGCAGTTATGCTACAAATTTGTTTACATTCTTCAATCTATTCAACAATATTATCGACAGGATAATGCATTTCCATATGTGTTTATTCTTACACAAAATTCTCAACCAATACGTGAAAAGAGTGAATTCAATCCGAGAACAGCACCATTCATTGGACTTGCACGTAGTCTGAGCGTCGAATGTCCACGTCACCACATTAAGCTCATTGACTTACAGCCGACAGCAGCCATATTTGCAGAATCATCCCATTCTGACACCCTCATACAGCATATGATCAACTCACGAGAAGCTAATAACCTTGATGAAGTCGTTCTTTCGCTTGATGCAGACAGTCGCGTTCAATGCTTTCAATGGCACTATGATTGGTTGCAATCAAAAGAGAAGAAGGAAGTATCACCGAAAATGGAACGAGCAATCGTACCTAAAAACGATGCCGATAAGAATCCATTTCGACTTCAAGTTGCAGCATCGCGCTTTGTATCTGACCTTGCTTGGATGAGAGATCCAATGCTGACCAACAATCTATTACCTGGTCAAACCAAAATCCGTGTTCACTGCATTAGTCTTAACTTCAGAGATATCTTGAAAGCACGTGGTCTCTATCCTCATACACGAGCGTTTGGTGAACGAGATTGTGATCAACCTTTAGTCGATCATGATTCTAGTTTTGGAACTGATTTTATGGGTACTGTTACTGCTTCTGATTCGAAGGATCTGAAGATAGGAGATCGTGTTATTGGCTTTTGCATTCCAGGTGCTTGCCATTCTCATATTGTTCTAGATACTCCAACTTTCGCACGTGTGCCCGACGAATTTTTGTTGTCGGACGAACAATTGGCTGCGCTGCCTATTGCATTTTTAACAGCTCTTCTTGCCTTAAAACATCGTATTAGACTTAAACAAGGCCAAATCGTTCTTATTCATGCTGCTACAGGTGCCACTGGCCAAGCTTGTATTCAGTATTGCCAAGCAGTTGGTGCTCAAGTTATTGCTACTGCAGGTAGTGATGCTAAAAGATCCTTTCTACGAAAGCATTATGGAATTGAACATGTATTCAATAGTCGTGATTTATCATTTGTCGCTGAAATACGTACGCTTTTTCCAAATGGTGTTGATGTCATTATTAATTCTCTTGCCGGTATACTTTTTCAAGAATCATTCAAATTACTTGCTCCTCATGGCCATTTTATTGAACTCGGCAAACGAGACGTATTCGCGGGAACCAATCTACCGATTTTTGATTTGCGACAAGATTGTAATTTTCATGTCATCGATCTGGTATTATACGCTACAGGTAAACCGTACGTCATTCATGAAATGTTGAACGATACTTTGGACCATTTCCGAAGAGGTCTATTTAAACCATTCGAGCCTCTGACTATTTTTGAGCCATCTGAAGTAATTGATGCATTTATACAGGCTAGTCTTGGTGTATCCATGGGGAAAATCGCAGTTCGTATAACGAATTCAGAACAGCCTCTTTTACTCAAAGAGGATGAAACGAATACGAACATAAGTGAAAACTCAAGAGAAGGTATATTATACAGTGAATCTAATAGGTAGTGCTAACATCACTTATTTTTTTAGGATCAATGTTTCCATCTGTAGTATGTGAAAGTGGAACGATCCTCGTTTCTGGTGGATTAGGTGGTCTCGGACTCACTATGTCTCGTTGGATGATAGAAGAACGAGGTGTTAAACATATTATTTTAATGAGTCGTCGTACAGTTGAACAGTTTGAAAAAGCTGAAAATAATCCACAATTAGAAGATTGGTTGCACCTTAAAGAGGTAGCAATCAAACACAATGCCTGCATTAATGTTGTTCAAGTTGATGTAACTCGATGCGACGATGTTTGTGATCTGGTGAAACGTCTTAATCAAACATCATATCCAGTGCGTGGCATTATACATAGTGCTGTCATATCTGATGATAAATTGTTAGCCAATCTTAACCAAGAAACACTCTTTCGTGTTATGGAACCCAAAGTGCATGGTGGCTGGAATCTTCATAAAGCATCACAGCAAATTGGTACAACACTGCATTTCTTTGTCATGTTCTCATCAATTCGAAATCATTTGATTGATCCTGGATCAAGTGGATACAATGCAGGAAATGAGTTTTTTGAAGCTCTAGCACACTATCGTCGTGAACATCTGCAATTACCAGCTCTGTCAGTGGCTTTACCAGCAGTGAGCGGAGCAGGCATGTTCCATCGACAACAAGCTCTTTTGAATAGTTTACTTATTGCTCAAGGAATTGAGATGTTACCTACAGTACCTACATTCGAATTGGTCGAACTACTTTTTAGCATGCAAACAAACTATTCATCACCAGTTATTTTTGCTGTCGACTGGCAACGACTAAATGCTAATAAGGCTAACTTGACTAATCATCAGTTGGTAGAACTTATTGAACAGCATGCTACTCCAGAAGGTGTTTCGAGTGTACGAGCAAAAGATTCTAGTTTTTCATCAACAACTCAGATCGAAGTCATTATTGAGCGAATTCGAGAAACAGTTATGCGTCTTCTAGGAGCATCTAGCATTGATCGAATAGATGTAGATCGTTCACTACTCTCACTTGGTCTGGATTCACTTGCGGCTGTTTCACTCTACAATTGGTTAAGTCAAGAATGGGGTGCATTCATTACACTAGCTGATATTTTTCAAGGTATTAAAATTGCAGATATTGCCAATCAACTGCAGAAAAAACTGATAGAACGACAAGCAGGATCAGAAGCGACACAAACCATGTTGTCAAGTGATATGGAACAGATCGATGAAGATGAAAGTGACTTAGCAGCTTCTACAACGAAAAAGACTGCATCGTATACTGGGATGGAAGGAGTTCTCAGAGTTTCTTTTGTCAATGATAGTAAATCAGTTATATTCGCTATTTCTTCTAGCAATACTATTACTGATGAATGTCTTCAAAGATTCGTGAACAAGAAATCAACCGTTTATTTTCTTCATGTGACTATGGATAAAGTACGTACGGAAACCTGCGTTCGCGAGGCTATCATTCAAATACGTCGATTATATCCTCAAGGTCCTTACTCATTGGTGGCTTTAGATAATGAAAGTCAAGATGTTATTAAAGAAATAGTGAAGCAACTCAAATACTACACAAAAGCTGGTGTTAACAATCTTGGTTAATAGATACGGTTAACAACGATGACTCTATTTTTTGGCTATTTGCGACTAATGCACAATGTAATGTTTTTATTTACTAATAAAATCGCGCGCCAACAAAAACTATTCTAAGAATCTAAACAGATAAGAAAATAAAGAACATATGAGCCTTTCTGTTTATGTTGATAGCAAATTAATTCAGAAGCATTAAACTGACGATATAAAACGAAGATTCGATGCAAAAAATTTTTTAGTGTAATTGCTTCATGATTGAAGTATGGAACTTGATGATGCACTTCGATTGTGCATCTATGCATCAATTAGATTCCTGAAAAAGGTTAAAGAGACTGTAAGTTGCAATGTCAGTCACGTTTCATAACTGGTATTCAAATACTGGATTCGAAGTGTAGACCAATACTTGACACTAGCTAATTAGTTTTAATAGAATAAATAACGGAATGTGACAAAATTCACTGTTAGATTATTTGTGTCGTAATCTGTACGAATACCAAACATCTAAGTATCTTTGTACTCTTCTACGATTGATATTTATCGAATTCAAATAAAGTGACTGACAAAAATGAAGAACATCTTTTCTTTTCGCTATTCCTGTTCTATTCATCTCCATGATCATATTTGGAGAAAGAGAATGGCAGGAACATTCTCATCTCTCATCTTCTTATGAACAATGCAACTCATAGAGATGTTATAGGCAATCTAGTGGCGAAGTTTTGTATGTTTGTAATGTTCTTAATTTTGTCCAATTTTTTCTCAAGACACTTGTCAAGGTGAGTATCATTATCATTTCTTTCTCCATGTATTGCACATGTGATCGTTCTCGTCTCATATAATCGCTATTGATAACCACTGTTCATGCATAATTGCCCTAAAGCAATAAAGATATCGACAACTGTCTACTAATTTCATCTCTAATTACTCGATTGGCAGTTATCTATGAGTAACATTTCACAGACTGCATATATCAAATGATTTGATCTACCATTTGTTGAACGACTAACGTGAGTACTTTCGTCTAAAAGAAATTCTTTCGAATAAGGTAACCAAAACATGTTTAAATTAAATCCTTTGATCGAAAGAAAGGTGATCGCTCAGTTAGTCTCAAGATTATTCGTTGCAATAGTAAAGAGGACACATTGTTGCGAATGAAGAGCTCTTATTTAACTTCAAAAATATAATCGATCTAACAACTGAATGTCTTTTAGATTATGGAGGAGCATCAAACAAATCAACTGAGACCCAAGACTGAATAAGCATGTTATAAACACTGGAAATAATGTGATTCACAAAACAACATACAAAGTACAAATCTGTGTCTCTACAGATGCAATTCTCATTTGATTTTCGCATGGAGGGATCAATCTGATACAAATATGATTATCAATACAAAACAGAAAACAAAAATTACTTTAAAATGGTTATCTTGATGACACTTTCCAGGTCCGTTTTTGTCAACGTAGAAAAAAACATACTTCCATACTTCAGAAGTACGAAGAAGTACATGAGTAGCGAAAAGTATAAAGATACATCGAGAAATACCAAGAAGTATTGAGAAGTAGAAGGAGACAGCCATGCAGACGTATAGAGAAGTACACAGAAGTAAAAAGAGACATGAACATGTGTACAAGAAGATGAGGCTATTTTTGTAAGCTTACGATATTTACTAAAAAGTAAAAACAAAAAAAATAAGAAAAAATATATCATCAATATTTACATTCTCTGCTTGTTTCAATGACATGAGAGAGGCACGTACTTTATAAACGATTTTTGGTATCAGTTAAGAGCTAATATGCTGATTTTTATGTAAATATCAGCAAGTGTTATAAGTTAAAATTTGAAGGTATGAACCGTTTCAATGTGGATCGGTTTTATTTAAAATTTTAATATCAGTAAGGTTTGTTTTTGATGCAGTCATATTTTCTTCTTCGTATTTATCGTCATCGATCATGTTATCGAGAAAATCTGGTCACTGTTAATTATCTGCGACTTTGTTCACTCTAATATCATCATCATTTTCTTCTCCATCCAATTCAACCTCGTCAACAAAATCATCTGTTATTTGTATTTTTAGTTATTTTTGAATTGATGTTGAATTGCAGATAAACACGTATACTTTTAAGGATTCTGTATAGCAAAATATCATATTTTCGTAATAATATTGAAATTTTAGGTTGCTCGATAAGATTAGTTGCTTTATAATATGCATTAAAAAACTTGCTAGTTATTCAGATTATCAATATGGTTTAAATTCTATAATGATAATAAATGAACATCATTATTGTGTTTATGATGTACGGGAGATGATTATCTCACTAGATTAATCTTTTTTTTCTGATTTTACATCGAAAGTTTTCAGAATGTCGGAGGAAAATCATTAGTTGTAAAATTGACCACCGTAAAGAATGCTTCACTTTATGATTTCGTTATTTACAACATCTATTCACAGGACTGACAGTTATATATATATCACTATGTAAAACTTCTTCTAGAAGTTGTTGTTCTTTGATTAATAAAATTAGGTTAAGTAAATTTTGAGTATTAATTTCTACAGACGAATAAGCCGGTTTGGTAATAAAATATTTTGACTTTTTAATTTTCTCATCTCTTGTTATTATCGATTAATATGCGGATTTTGGTATTGTAGTGCATGATCATCATAAACGGTACACAAAACAATTCACTACCATAATGTCAAACTTAAAAGACTCAGAATACGTATAGTCATGAGGGTTTAAATATTATAAAAGGTTGATAAATATGATTACGTTCAGAAATAGATATTGATTTTTTTATAAAATGCTGTTACTATCATTTTTAATAACTAAACATAAACGTTTGTGACTAAGAATATCAATATCATCAACACATAGATCTAATACTCAAATCGTTTCATGTGATTCTTTAACACAAGAGTTAAAGTTTTGTCTATCTTTTGGTGCTCCAATTGGATATTTTAATGCATAATCCAACTTTATGTATTGGTCGTTATTAATAGTATTTTTTTAAATGTTCTATACTAATTCGACCGTGTCCAACATGTAAATCTGCTACTGTTGATTAAATTGATTACGTCATTAATAGCAAAATGAATTGGATCTTGGAAGAAGAAAACGAGCTGTTTTTGCCGAAAATAAACTAGAAGTATCGAGACGGTAATCCTGTGTTGAAAGCATGTTGGTGATCATGAAATTTTGAATTTGTAGTGAGAGAGCAACGTTCTTTAGTTATAGCATGGCATTTATGTACTTGATATCTGCATTTAAGAGTGGATGCCTAATTCGAGTTCGAATATAAATGAAAAAAAACATCGCAGTCATGTTAAAATAGTAAAAAAGCAAAAGATAAATTTTATATAAATTATAATTTATAAATTCGAAGGCAGTCATGTTAAAAAAAAACTGAAAAAGATCGGAATAAAAACTGAACTTTTAAATTTTTATTAAGTAACATTCACTATTAATTGAAGGCTAGTTAGAATTAAGAAGTTATAGACTTCGCAATTGTACTCAATGGTAATCTAGTTTATCTTAGCAAGTTGCAATTAAAAAAAGGAAGGATCTTTAAGTTTTTGTTTTTTTTAAGTAGTTTATCCGTCGATGCTTATTTTCTTCGAATGTAACGTGGTTCATAGATGATATGTAGAGTATAAGTACGCATATTATCTTGTTAACTTTTCTTGACTTATGTCCCAACCAAAAGAAAGCGAAGGAAATTTTAGCTTATTTATTCTCTATGATAGAATAATAACTGTCTTTTCTCGAAATTAAGTACTTGAAAAATAAAAAATTGTCGATTTGTTTGTTCATAAAAATAGTTTTAACAATCATTTTCCACTGTCGATGCAGAAGAAGTCATTGTTGCTTATACCAAAGAAATAAAATAAGCACCTGCTATGTTGTTGTAATGAAAACGAAAATAAAAAATCATTTTTAAGTAAAAGAAAGTTATGTCTTAGTTTTATAAATTATTAAAAAAATAATCCTGTCTTTCTGCTTAAAATTGCCATGATGGAATCGATTGTCAATTACTAGTTTCAAGAGAATACAGTAAAATATGAGGAGTTTTAAAGAAAGACACTGAAAACAACAAAGTCTTTTATATATAGTGTTGCTACATGTTATTGTATACTAGCTGAAACGCTACTAATGGTATCTTTTTAATAATGAACACAGTCAAGTAATGAATTAAATTTGAAGTCATACAATAAAAACTAAATCAAAAGATTCTTTTTAGTGTCATATATTCTATTAGTGAAGAGTAGTTAAGCCGAAAACAACAGCACTCGGCTAATTCGAAAATAGATTATGCGATAGATTGAAAAGAGACCCGAACTGAAAAATATTATTCACTCTCAAGTTCTCATTTGGACAAACTAGATATGTTTGAGTCGATATTTCAATGTTGTAGATAAAACTAAGATAACTTTCACAAGCACGTTGTCATGATATAAATGACTTAACATTTTGAAAAAGAAATTGTAGAAGACAAGAGATTGAGTTTGCTGAGAAGAAAATGAAAATGAAAAAATATTTTTATTTGCTTTCGTCTTCCATCGAATAAATGAAATGGAACAAAAAAAAATATTGAAAACAAGTTCAAGTTCAATCATGTATGGTTGAAAGTTTGTGTCAGTGACAGCACACAGTTAATTCAACAATGAAATTCTCTCATTTTCCTTGAATTTTGTTACACACTTTGTTGTCAGCATCAATTCTGAATTCGTATCAAAGAGTTTCATTTTCATTTTCACTGTGAGTCTCTCAGTAGCGTCTTGTTTTCATAGTATTTGGGTGTGAGGTGTGCATGTAGTATGGAGAAGAGTCTTCTTATCTCCCGCCTAGACTCTAACTCGTGATAATTTACATATTTATTAACATGTATTATTTTTAACTGGCCACACGGACTAACGATGAAATATCACAGCCGTACAGCGTAGTAACATAATCTGTTTGAAGTGCTGTATGAATACAAGTAAAAGAAAAGAAATTATTTGTGCCCTAATTTATAATTGTGGATGCTGTATAATTTTTTCTCACAACCATTGTTAGGTAGTGGTGCTATCTGCAACCGCTACCTCTCTGCTTCTTTTCTCATACTTCATTGGTTACTCGATGTATTTATGTTTTGTTAACGTTACCTGTGACTAAATAGTTAGTATTGTTAGTTTTTGTTTTTGTTGCTATTTAGAGTAGTTATAAACAAGAAGATAGTAAAATAAAGAGAAATACTTTATTTAGTCATTATAGACTAGCAATCATCAATTGCTTATGAACTTATTGAATCATTCACATAATAAGAACGAAAAAAATCCCAAAACTCTTGTTAATTGTCGATTTTATTTCTGTTTCTTTCATATGAAAGTATCACGTAACAATTGATACCATAAACAACCAGTTAATGCCTGATGCAAATTATTCATTTGTGGATTGATTTAAACAAAAAATTTAAATATAGATAATTGTCAAAGTATGTGGTGCATTTGATTATTGAAAGTATTAAATATTGTATTGTGAAATCATTGTAAATGTTAACTAATTTCTATGAATAATCCAGTATTAAAAGCTGATATTGCCTATCATTTTTACAAGATATTAAAAAATGTATCAGTTTGATTGTGACCTGAAAATAAGATTTCATAGAATGTCCATATGTTCTCAATACTATAACAAGGATTTTATGCAATTCTTTAATAACTTTAATATAGTTTATTAATTCATCTACTTTTAAACATAAATAAACATGATAATGAAGTTTTATCAATTTTCTAATCATTTCACTATCATCTTGTAGATGATAATACGAAATGAATAGCAAGTATTCATATTCATTCAATATTAATGATTCTTCGATTGATTTAATGTCTGATGCATCAATCAGACGCTCTTGTAATCTATCTGGTGCATAGGATGAGATATTTTGCTAATCATCAAAGTATTTTTGATTTAAATGATGAATTTTTATGAAAATTCTGTTGGAAACTGCAATAAAACACTATCAGTCCCACGCATGATGACCTTGCATACGTCAGAAGTATTTTATTCATTATCTTAACGATGCTTTATTTTTCTGTTTTTTTAGTTAACTAGACATACAAATGTATAGAAGAAGTACAAAATTTTTCTCCACTTTACACTTTTGATTCATATAATGTACAAATTAAAATACGAAGCCTCATGTTTCAAGTTAATGATTAATGACGAGACACATCAAATAAACATTGTGTTTCTGTCTAAGTAGGTGTGTCAGAGGTATGCATTAATTTGACTAAAAGAAAAATTTTGATAATTGGAAAAATCGAGAAACTTTACCGTGATATTATTGTCCCACTTGATACAAAAAATATTTTATTTCATTCGAGAGAAAGACACATGAATCAGCATTATTCATATGTAAAAAAAAACAAAACCGACAATGTTAAAAGCTTCAAACACTTGTTCTTAAAAATTTCTATTATATTAAAAAGTTTCGTTATTTCTAAAGATAGTAAAGTTACTAAAATTTCTGACATTTCAAAAAACTTGCTATTTTGTACTACTGAACGATTCTTAGAGTTAGGAAGACTTTGAACTATTCAGTAATTTCGTTGATCAAAAATCAGTTTATGCCTCTATCAACATCTGATTCTTATCTTGAATCAGAGTTTATCTTAAACTTTGGTTTGGTTTCTCTTTCGATCAATATCGATTATTATTTTGAAAATTGAAAATGTAATTACTTATGAATTAAAAGTGTCTCTCGTTGTTTAATATTTTGGTTTATATATTCTAACGATCGACCGATTCCATCGAATATTTCGGTGTATACACAGAAGACACGAATAATTATGCTATTTTGATTTTTATTTGTGTAACATACTCTAGAGCAATCTATCGTGGTGACACGTTGTTTACTGATGGTTGAATACGAATAGTATAACTGAATCATCGATGATCGATGACATAGAACATGACATTTTGACGAGTTAATTACGAAATTTGAAAAACAAAAAATTATGAAGATAGGTATAGATATATAAAGGTTGTCTTCTGCTGTATCACATACACATTCTCACATTCGGTATAGTTTAAGGTTAAGTATTGAAAGTTTTGTCAAAAGAATTTTTTCGCTAGATTCATTCATCTCTATAAGTTTCAACTCAAAAGTATAATGATGAGTAGGAGAGTTTTTGTGAGAGTGTTCTTAAAGATTAATTCAACTAAAATATGCATACATTTCTTAATTTTTTAGTCGATATGAATATAATGCCATAGAGGCAGTAATTCAGATTCATATTTCGTTAGGATACAATCTGTTCTTGAGTTAAGAATGTATTGAAAGATAGAGATTCATAATTGCACATGTACTAATAATGACTATGTCTCGATAACACCCTTGCTCACAGTACGAATATTTTTCAACTATCTTTTTTTGGTAGAATTCACACTACAATATTGTTGTGAGTACGTTCAAGTTATCTTTATCAGTTACATCAAGTGTTTTTGTTAATGTTTCGAGTTTGATTATTTATTAAAGATGACTCTGGAATAATACATATTAGTTAGAAGATTTAATCAACAAGAAAAAATGCAGCACCATCTGACATACCATACTGTTGCATATTATTAAAAGTGGTTTTTTCTTTGAGTAGTAATCGATTTCTTCAAGACAGAAAATATTAATTTAATAGAAAAATTCCATCAAACTTGATAAACAAAAGTCAACCGTTGAAATAATCGGTTCTAATAAAAAATTACCAGGAATGATAGCTAGCTTTTTTAATACCATCAATACATCTTAGGAGAATAGCTTTTTAGCTAGATGAATTAGTAATCATGACATATTCAACGATGAGATTGCATTCCTATTACGTTTTAATCATGATCAAGGTCAATTAATATTATTTTTTTATCATTGTAATGTTTACTTCCGTTGTTAGCCCTCGTTTACCTGTATCATGCACGTTTTCATTCATAACATCGGATAGATAGCTTTTCTTCCTTAGAAATTACCTTCGACTCTTTTTGCGCAGCATATATATATATATGTTTGCATGTCAATAAAACGAGGTTTTTTTCTGTTTAGTTTGAATTAGAATGGCAATGGCTAGTTCAAAAGATCAACATATTGAGTATTTTCAAGTAAAGTTTTATTTCAAATGTTAAATATCATTCTGATGTTATTGATTTATAGGCACTAACTGGCTGGAAAGATCGACAAAAAGTGATTGATTTTTTGCAGATGTACGAATGGGATGTTACTGTACGTCATTTATATATTTAAAAGAAGAAATTGAATACAATTCAAATATTTAATCATTTTTGTTTTTTTTCTCAATTTTTATTAGTTTGCTGCCGAAGCATTTTTGACAAACTCCGGTAAATATTTTTCTTTATTTTTTATTTTTTGATAATATTTTCTATTAATTCATTCAGAGGTAACTAAGGATGATCAATCACATAAACCCATTTTATTTCGAACCAACTCAAGAGAAGTAGGATCTCGATTCAAATCATCGGATGATGAGCTACCAGAACGAAAAACACTTTTTGAAGCTCGTCAACAGCAAATATCAGTAAACAATATACTAAATAATTTATGTTCATAATCGTTTATCTCTTACAGAATAATTCAATGGAGAGATCATCGCATCCTTCATTTAATTCACGAAACTATCAGCTAACAACAAACAATTCCAATCAAATTATACCTACATCGCACACACAATCTGCCGATGAACGTGTGATTCAATTATATAAATTAAATGGAGATGGAACAAATCCAAAGCTTCGCGATATTAATCAATTAAAACATAGTTAGTTTTTATGTTCTTTTGTAGCTTAATTCTCGTCAGAGATAGAAGAATTCAGTTTTGTTTAAATTCGTAACTAGATTCGTTACTTGTCAAAAAAAAATAAAAGAAAAACATGAAGAATGATAGCATTGTTGGAATACGAAAGAATTTAGTCTTCTAAGATCAGAGAGTGTAGAACATTTTATAATCATAGTTAGAGTAGAATTATAAAAAATTTAAAATTGTAGTTGTATATGTCTAAGACAAAATGAATTCTTGTTTATTCCAACTCGATCAAACTGAATCATTGTCTGGTCGAGAATATTTCATCTATGATTAGCTTTATCAAATGAGTCATTACTAATAAAAATATTTCATTAACGATAAACAAAACTTATATCATCTTTTTAATAAACATTACTTAGATAAACAAGAACTTCTACAGTATATCGATTCAAATGTCATTGGTAGAAATCTTCAAATCAATACTCCATGGGGATCTCGAAAAAGTACGATCTATTATTTTCATTATTATAAATACATAAATATATTTTTGTTTAACAGTTGTTTATGCTGATTATACAGCATCTGGACGTGGTCTAACATTTGTTGAATATTGCATGATGTTTAACGTTTTACCTTAGTACGATATAATTTTTAATTCTAAAATAAGATATAATATTATTCTTTATGTTTAGTTATGCCAATACACATAGCGAAAATAATGCATGTGCATTACACACTACAAAATTTCGTGAAGGAGCACGTACTGAGATTAAGCGATGTGTCAATGCAACCAATGATGATGTTGTTATTTTTACTGGATCAGGTAAAAATGAAGAAATATTCTCCTAGTTAAATATATTTAAAAAAATAATACTCAACAATTTTATAGGATCAACAGCTGCTATTAATAAACTTGTCGATGTTTTACAGCTGAGAAATAAAGATGTTCAAAGGAAAACTGTTGTTTTTATTAGTACATTTGAACATCATTCAAATATATTACCATGGAGCGAAACAGGAATTGAGGTAAATTTCTATTAAAATCTTATCTAGAGAATGATAATACTTATCTGTAGGTTATACGTATTCCTAATACTAAAGAAGGTCTTATTGATCGAGATAATTTAAAAAAACAATTGAAACATTATCATAATATTATTGGAAAACATATTATTTGTACATTTAATGCTGCCAGTAATGTAACTGGTATTCAAACTGATGTTGATCGTATTTCAACACTTGTTCATCAATATGATGGTTGGGTTTTTTGGGATTATGCAGCAGGAGCACCTTATCTTAAAATTGATATGAATCCATCAGAAACGGCATATAAAGATGCTGTTTTTATTTCGGTACATAAATTTGTTGGTGGACCAGCGACACCAGGTTAATTTTTTAAAACTTTATTGAAAGAAAAAACTTGAATCTATATTAAGATATGTTTGTTTTTGTTTTTACATTCAGGTCTTTTAATTGCTAAGAAAAAACTTTTTAATAATCCAGTTCCATCGGGTGTTGGAGGTGGTACAGTTACTTTTGTAACACGAACACGTACGGTATATGTAAAAGATATTGAAGCACGTGAAGAAGGTGGAACACCTAATATTCTTGGTGCTATCCGAGCTGGTTTAGTTTTTCATTTGAAAGAAATTGTCGGTTATGATACAATTGAAAAACGTGAAAATGAATTAGTTGCAAAATTTTTTGCACGATTTCGTAATCATAGAAAATTAATTATACTTGGATCAACAAGTCTTCCTCGACTAGGAATATTTTCATTTCTTCTTTATGTACCATTCTTTGCCAAATATTTACATCATAATTTTGTTTGTGTTTTATTAAATGATTTATTTGGTATACAAGTACGATCAGGATGTGCTTGTGCTGGACCTTATGTTTTAGTAAGTGAGATATAGGAAAAGTTTCTTGTTTGTTTTCTTTTTAGAATAGAAGTTCATTTATTTTTCGTTTTTGTTTAGGATCTACTTCAAATTGATGATAAAACAGCAGATGTTTTTGCAAAATTTATTACAGCTGATGAAAAGTAAATTTCAAAATAAATGAATTTTAAAAATAATTTATATAAATTTTTAGTGGTAAATTGAATGAATTTCCTAAAAATGCATTAGTCAAGCCTGGTTTTACTCGATTTAATTTATCATATTTTGCAAGTGATAAAGAAGTTGATTATATTTTAAATGCAGTTGAATTTATTGCACATGAGGGATGGAAATTTTTATCATTGGTAAAAAATAATTTATCTTTTTCGACATATTCAATTTAATAGAAATTACCTATTTTGTTGGTTTGATTTAGTATACGTATGATATTAACACGGCTGTTTGGCATCCTCGTCCTATGCCATCAAAAAATCATTTTTCTCAATTTCATAATCATCAAATAGCAAATAAAAATCGTCCAATGAAACAGAAATTTGAAAATAATCAAGTCGAACGTTGGGTAACTAAACTTAATTTTTCTATCATGAATTATATATAGATAGTTTTTGTTTGTTTATAGAATTCACTTTTTGATCAATCAAATACGAATTCATCTTCGGATGATCCGATCGAAGAAGCTAAATTAATGGCGAGTTCTATACCAAAATATGTTTATGAAAATATTGATTTTCGAGCTGATCCACCATTAAATGTTCCAGATGGATATGAAGACTTTATTTGGTTTGTTTTACCAAAAGAAGTTATCCGAAAAATAGTAATTGATTTTGAACAAAATCAAAGAGATAATTATAAACCAGTACCATTCCATTTGAAAATGAAAAACTAATATATTATCAACAATAAAATCAACATTGTCGTATTCTTTTTTTTCATTTTTAATCTATAAAAATTTTCTAAACAACAATCAAGCATCACATAGATCTGATTATAAAAATATATAATTATTTGCAAAAAAAAGCGACGTGCATATATTGCTTTGAAGTTATTGCTCTTTATGTATATCTAATCGAATTGTTGCATCTTTGATATGACGGAATACCATACAAAGAGTACTCTCTTGTATGGTTACTGAATTGATCAACGAAAGATGGGCACTATTTCGGAAAACATGTTTTAAACAGTTAGAGGTAGAAACAGCAAAAGTACATTTTTTTATCGTTATGCAGATCCTAAACATAAGTCCATTTTATTGCATGTAAATAGAAAAATAGAACGCGTGACGGTGTGTCCTACGAGAGCAGTTTTTTTAGGAAATTTTTTAGGAAAAAAAAATCACAACTGTGTATCGTAATTTCAATCGAACGATATCTCTTTTTTCGTTCTATCTCTATGTAAAACCATGAACGAGTACATTAAGCCATGAAATAAAAGTGTTTTTTCTGTATGATTTTTAAGAAGAATAATGCAGTTAGGTATGACGATTTTGATTGAAAGACTCTGTTTTTCTTCTGTTCTATCTATACGTAGAAACGAGCAAGCACAGGGAGCAAAAGAATAAAGGTATTTTTTTTCTCTATCGTTTGAAGAAGAAAAGTACCGTTGGATGCAGCTATTTTGATCAAAGGGCTCTTCTCCAGGGCTGCCCCGACCGGAGGAGAGTTCAGGGATATAACACCCCTCAATCTTAATAAATTTTCGCTTTTTTTCCGGTAAAATCCAAAATTTTTTTTGTGTTCTCTTAGCAAAAATAATGGTAGATTCTCCCGTAATTCTCAAAAGTTAACTTCTACTTCCCTTTCCAAAACTCATTACACCCCCCAATGTTGGTTGATTCGAGGTGGCCCTGCTCTTCTCTTTTCTTTGATATCTCTCTACTTAAAAAAATAACAAGCATATTGATCAAAGGAATAAAAATATTTTTTTAGACTAATAGAACAATTAACTTGTGATGATCGCATTAATATGATCTGCTGATTTTTTCGGTTTCAATATGTAATATGGAAAATGATTCTGGTAAAGAGTGAAACTGTTTTCTTTTTGTGCATAGATGTGATTTTTATATAGAAAAGGGGGATATATATACATATATAATGGAGAATGTCTTATCATTTTCATTGTCCCTTTATCAACGATAAGGCAAGATTAAAGTATTTGGATGATTCAGTAATACTGCATCACTTTCTATTTTCGAACATTGTCCCTATGAAGTCAAGGGTTTTTTCATGCTTTTTTCGCTGAATGATGCATTTTGAAATTGTCTGCAAAACACTATGTTTTAGTGAATTAATGTGTCTATTTTGATTGATAGAAGTCGAAACAATCATAAATGAAATATGATGATAATTTTCTAAACTTATATCAAGTCTAAATTTTTGCTATCGAATATTTTCATTTTTTGACCAACATTTATTTTGCTTGAACACGATTTCAACGCATGCTTCGAGTCAACTTCTACTTAAACTAGAATCACGTACTGAAAATCGTCTGCAAACAAAAGAAATGATGATCGAAGAATCAAAATATTCAATGAAAAAAAGAATTTCTGTTTGACATAAGTTTACAAAATTATCATCATGTCTCTTAAGAATTGTTTCCGATCATATATAACAAAATAGTGATGTTAATTAGTCAAAACGTAGCGATTTGCAGAGTTTCTAGGCACCCATTTCAACCAAAACAAAGTAGTGAAGTGTATGACTCTATATTAATAAAACTTGCACATATAAAGTGATGCATTCCCACACGATCAGTCGATATCTTTTGTGTACATGCGTGAGAACATCAACGCAATTAACTACCATCCCTTTCAAATTAAAAGAGACAGTCAGTATTGGTCGAATATCTCTAGAAAGATAACAGCTAGAGGCCTGCGGTTTGTTTTTGTTTGATAGCCCGATATGGGGCAAGTAAATTGAGTGCTAGGAACGAAAATTTTTGAACGTGTCTTCATGGAGTTTGAGGATGTTAAAGAGCTCGATTTTGACCTCTAATTATAGCAAACGATAGACTAGACTGTTGTCCTCATTCAAAAAAAATCGCACCTTTCTACGCTATTCTGTTAGAAACGCCAACACTTCTCATGAAATTCTCAAAAAGTCATATTTTGTCCGCCGAGAACGTGGCATACTTCATCCAGCGAACGTTCCAGATGATCATTTCTGACTTTCTGAGCACGAGGATATCGTTAGAGACATTGTCAGCTACTGAAGTCCTCAAAATGACGTCCATTCAGATACTCCCCTTATTCCACTGTCACCTATAATTGCCTATTTCCAGCAGATAAATCATTCGGTTTTATTTTTCCAAATTAAAAATCATCTTCGCTACTGGAGTTCATCGAAAATTCTTTTTCATCTTCGGTACCAGTATCAATAATTTCAGGATTGATCGTTCCTTCCACATATTTGTCGGCTTCTCGAAATGTCACTTTCGCCTTTCAACGCATGAGGTGTGGGTGTAGGTGAGGGTGAAGATAAAGAGAAGACCCTCCTCAACATTCTCCTACATCCACCTTTTTTCGAATGAGGACAACAGTCTAATCTACCGTTTGCTATAATTAGAGGTCAAAGATCGAGTTCTTTAATATCCTCAATTTTCGTTTTTCTTTGAAAAAGCCCTCACATTCTATGAAGATACGAACAAAAGTTTTCATTTCTAGCACCCAATTTATTTGCCCCATATGGTGCTATCAAACAAAAGAAAACCGCAGGCCTCTAGCTGTTATCGTTATGTAGATATTCCACCTATAGTTACTGTCTCTTTTAGTTTGAAATGGATAGTAGTAGTGCGTATCACTTTTCATTTGATTGTTTGGAGTCTATTAATATCAATAGAGAACTTGTTATTCTCATACTGTGAAACTTCCTTGTATTTTCGAAGAAAATATAAAGAATGAAAATTTAAATTGAGGTTTTTCCAGCTCTTCCTCATTCATTACAAATCTTAATAACCAGGATTAGAAATGGTGAAGGATAATAATAACAATACTTTGAAGCTTCTAGAAAATTTCAGAACCTTCTTTGATGTTTGAAATAGCTGGAATACGTGTATCAATATTCTAAATAACGCAGTTTCTGACTTCTTTTTGCTCAGATAAGCGATTACATGATAGGTATTTAAATTAGTTCATCAAAAATATCGACACCTACTGGTTTATACATTGATTCATATAATACTTTGTATATAGAAGATAAAATTTCTAATGTTGTTGTATGGAAGCTGTTAAACAGTACAACAACTGCAGCTAATATATCCAAAGACTATCAATCAATCTTGTCTTTAATTCTAATCAATACTATTGCTGGTATTACTGGATCAGGTGAATTTTCATTGTCACAATTTAATGATCTTCGACATTTTACTGTTGATTCAACCGATACATACATATATGCTACCGATTACTATAACAATCGTATTATGCGATATTCAACGAGTTCGACAACAGGTGCTAATGGTTTTGTTAATGCAAATACAACATTGTACTATCCATGGTATATTCTCATTATTTGCCATCTGTAAGCGATGATTTATTTATAACGAATTCTTATAAACATTCAGTAATTCTCTGAACAACTGGTATCATCATTAGGTTATTATGCAGCTAGTGTACTAGGTACATCAAGCTGAACTTCTGTGTTCTCTTGAGTTATTCCACGGGTATTGAAATTGATACATATTCAAAAAATCTATGTTGTTGATACTGATAATGATCGACTACAAATGTTTTGTGCTAATCATTAACCTGAAATTATTACTGATTATACTGGCATAATAACTAGTAGTAGAGCGATAGAACTCAATGAACCAAGCAGTATTGTGTTCGATTCAGCAATGGTGATGTACGTTGCAAATAGAAAAAATTTTCGCATTCAAAAACTTCTCAAACTTTAAAAATATAAACATATATATGAAGAATATGACTGGTTTTTTTTCGTGATCAAAAAAACATCTTATTTTTAGAAGTCCATTTCATCATTATCGTAGGTCGTTTTCAAAAATATTTTATTTTAATAATTTTTGTGTTCAATTCTTTTTATATATAATTATTATTTTTTTCTCAATATAATAAAACACAAAGATAAAACATTACTTAAACGAACACTTCTAACTCGGTGTACAATATATAAAATTGAATGCATAAGAGCACAATACATCTTGTCTCATATTTGCCTTTTTTATTTCGAAATATCGACGACAAGTAATTGTTGTAATTAGAAGCGTTCTTTTTTTCTTCTACTTTGTTCTCTGCTTAACACTCAAGCTGATACCATTTTTATGTAAGGGCAACTATATGATGTAAGTTCACGTAGTGTTTCGTTCGTTCGATGTGATAGAACGAACGAAAAAATAAAAGAAAATAACTTTTTTCTTTCTTTCTTGTTCTTTATGCATTCGTTTTTTTTTTGATTTGTATGAGTAATCATACAAGAGTATGTGCAAATAAATATTCATTCGAACAATGTACCCTCAACAATAATGACGACCGACGAATCCACACAACAGATATTAACAAGATGTTCACATTTAAAAATTCGTGATTATCGTAATCATACAAAAAATTCAATTAATGAATTAGAAAAACTTGTCTCACGATTAGAAGGTGAAAAATCAGTTTTTTATCATTCATTAGAATCTTTTATTCATATTATTCAAACAATTATCTCTTCTATTGATCGAACAATATTATGGAAATCAAAAGGAAAAGTAAGCGAACAACAACAACAACTTGCTCATATGGTATGTCGATTATTTAAATGTTTATGTCAAATTGATGCTGAATGTGCAGCAAATGATCAAAGTAAAATGATTATATGTTCGATTCTTCAATGGCTTCGAGATGATATTGATTTTCATGTAACTAAATCTATTAGGTAAGGTTACATAGGT